TGACTCAAAATACATTCACTTGAAAAAACCCAGACGTTCAATCTCTCCCAGTTCCAAAATTTCCAATGCAGATATGAGTGAGATTAGCCATGAAGTCTGTATCTTGCTCCCTTTACATTCCCCTTAAACTGAAGCAAGGAAAATGTTGACCAGACCTGTAAGAACTGTTGCAGTCAACTAGTGGAAAAAAGACTCGCCCTATCTTTCCTCAGAGTGCCTCAGACATGGACACACAAATACTCCCCAGCAAGAAAACAAAGCAGCACAGAGCTTGAAATGCACTTCAGGGTCAAGGAACAAGCAATGGTATCTGGTACTGCAGACAGGGGAACATATGAAACCCACCTGTGTGCCTGTGCAAAGTTAGCACCCAGCCCTTAGCAGGAAAGGGAAAAAGCTTGGAGTACAAAGCAGTACTTCACAGCCAAGTGATGGCTTCAAGCAAAAATCATTTCAAGTACATGCACTGCCTGCTCCAGCTCCACTCATAAATGCTGGGGGCAGCACCCATTTCCCTGAACACATACACTGTGAGGGGAGTTGAAGGAGCCAAGAACATAGCATTAAAATACACACTTACCAGACAGAGACCAACAACAAGCCTCAGCTGCTCTAGGGGATAGAAAACAAGTGCATTAAGAGGGACACCGTAAGCTGTTCCCAACTATGCTGCAACAAACAGGCCATTTGTTGAGAGACAAATAGTGAGAGACCATTTACTTCCTTCTCCCCATCTAATCTGCACCAGTGCTCTTCCTCAGCAAAACCTATGAAGATGGAGGTGTGCCAGCTTTCAGTACAAAGGACCATATACAATCCTGTGAGTAGAATGGAAAGCTTACGGGGAGTTCAGTAAGTAAAAGACTTTCCACTAGCTTTGCACCTGGGACACGCTCAGAGCTCACTAGAGCCTAGATTTAAAATGCTCAGCCTCTAAAACTATGGGGTTTGAATGAGTGGGGTGAAGAGACAGAACTGCAGTGAAAGCAACAACAGAAAATGTAGAAAATTGCTGAAGAGAAGTCCATGACCCCATGCTCACCAACAGGGAAGGGCTGGTTGGAAATGTGACGCTCCAGGGCAGCCTTGGTTGCAGTGATCATGAGATGGTCAAGTTCAAAATCCTCAGGACAGTGAGAAGAATGTGCAGCAAGCTCACTGCCCTGGACTTCAAGACAGCAGACTTTGGCCTCTTCAGGAACCTGCTTAGGAAGGTACCATGGGATATAGCCCTAGAGGGCAGGGGGACCCAAGACTGTTGGTTGATATTCAAGGATCACCTGCTACAAGCTCAGGAGTGTTGTGCCCGAACTAGAAGGAAGTGCAGTAGGAGGGCCAGGAGACCTCCATGGATGGATACAGAGCTGCTGAGGAAAATTCAAATGAAAAAAGAGGCTCATAAAAGGTGGAAGCAAGGACAGGTGGCCTGGGAAAAATACAGGGATGTTGTCCAGGAAGCTAGGACCAGGTTAGGAAAGCTAAGGCCTAGTTAGAATTAAACTTGGCTAGGGATGTGAAAGGTAACAGGAAGGGATTCTATAGTTCCACTGCAAAGATTAGGGACAACCTGGGCCACCTCCGGAAGATATCAGAACTGGCTACCCTGGATTTGGAGAAGGCTGAGGTTCTTAATGACTTCTTTGCCTCAGTCTTGACTGGGAAATGCTTTGACCACACTACCCAAGTCTTGGAAGGCAGATGCAGGGACTGTGAGAATGAAGACCTTGGGCTCACTGTAGGAGAGGATCTGGTTCGAGACCATCTTAAGAACCTGAATGTGCACAAGTCCATGTGACCTAATGAAATCCATCCTCAGGTCCTGAAGGAGCTGGCGAATGAAGTTGCTAAACCACTGTCCATCATGTTTGAAAAATCATGGCAGTCAGGTGAAGTTCCTGACGACTGGAAAAAGTGTAATATAACCCCGTTTTCAAGAAGGGGAAAATGGATGACAAAAGGAACTACAGACCAATCAGTCTCATTTCTGTGCCTGGCAAAATCTTGGATCAGATTCTCCTGGAAGGCATGCTAAGGCACATGAAAAACAATAAGGTGGTTGGTAACAGCCAGCATGGCTTCACTAAGGGGAAATCCTGCCTGACCAATTTGGTGGCCTTCTATGATGGGGCTACAGAACTGATGGACAGGGGTAGAGCAGTTGATATCATCTACCTGGACTTGTGCAAAGCGTTTGACACTGTCCCACATGACATCCTTGTCTCTAAATTGGAGAGACATCAATTTGATAGGTGGAACACTTAGTGGATAAAGAACTGGCTGGATGGCCATATGCAAAGAGTTGTGGTCAGTGGCTCAATGTCCAGCTGGAGACCAGTAACGAGTGGTGTCCCTCAGGGTTTGGTCTTGTTCAACATCTCTGTCGGTGACATGGACAGTGGGATTGAGTGTGCCCTCAGCAAGTTTGCCAATGACACCAAGATGTGTGGTTCAGTTGACACACTGGAGGGAAGGAATGCCATCCAGAGGGACCTCGACACACTTGTGAGGTGGGCTGATGACAGTCTTATGAAGTTTAACCATGCCAAGTGCAAGGTCCTACGCCTGGGTCAGAGCAATCCCAGGCACAGCTACAGGTCAGGCAGAGAAGAGATTCAGAGCTGCCCTTAGGAGAAGGACTTGGGGTGTTGGTCGATGAGAAAATGAACATGAGCTGGCAGTGTGTGCTCACAGCCCAGAAAGCCAACCATATCCTAGGCTGCATCAAAAGGAGAGCGACCATCAGGTCGAAGGAGGTGATCCTGCCCCTCTACTCTGCTTTCATGAGACCTCACTTGTAGTATTGTGTGCAGTTCTGGTGTTCTCAACATAAAAAGGACATGGAACTATTAGAACTAGTTCAGAGGAGGGCCACAAGGGTGATCAGGGGACTGGAGCACCTCCCATATGAAGACAGGCTGAGAAAGTTGGGGCTGTTTAGCCTGGAGAAGAGAAGGCTGTGTTGAGACCCCATAGCAGCCTTCCAGTATGTGAAGGGGGCCTATAGGGATGCTGGGGAGGGACTCTTCATTAGGGACTGTAGTGATAGGACAAGGGGTAACAGGTTCAAACTTAAACAGGGGAAGTTTGGATATAAGGAAGAAGTTCTTGACTGTAAGGGTAGTGAGGTACTGGAATGGGTTGCTCAGGGAAGTTGTGAATGCTCCATCTCTGGCAGTGTTCAAGGTCAGGTTGGACAGAGCCTTGGGTGACATGGTTTAGTGTGAGGTGTCCCTGCCCACAGCAGCGGGGTTGGAACTAGATGATCTTAAGGTCCTTTCCAACCCTAACTATGCTATGATTCTATGATTTGTAGGTGCTGAGCAAGACTGACTGCTTCATGATGCTTCTAGCTGAAGCACAGTATCTATCTCAACACTGACAGCCAAGGCATGACCCTACCACAGCCCAGAATTATTTTTAAGGAAGTCATACATTATTCTTCTAGATTTTATAACCCTGTGGTGATGCCAGTTCCAGTAGAACAATAAAGCTCTTTGCTAATCCAAAGGCCCAAACCTATTTAATCAGTAAGGCAGCAAAAACTGCTCTCCCAAGAAAAGCTGAACTTGCTCTACTACACAGACCAGCACTTAAGTCAGTGGCAGTCAGACCTATGTGATATTATTTAATGCAGTTAAAACCAAACTGAACAACTTTTAGTGGCCTCCTGCTCCCAATTCAAGGGCAGAAGAAGTCTTACATTTTCCAAGTACACTGTGTACCACACTTGCAGTGGTTTTGGCAAGGACTGGAGCCTAGCATTACCACTTCTGCAGAGGCAAAAAGCTGTGTCTAAGCTTGCCATCAGAGCACTGAATGTTCACTATCTGAAAAGCCCTAGAACAGAAATAAAGCACGTGTCATTTCTTTTGAGCAAGCACTGGGTTGGAAGGTGAAGTACTGAGACAAGGAGGCACAAAATGAAATAGAAACCTTTGTAAATAAGTAAAATCAGTTCTAAGTAACATTAAGTTTGATGGTTTTGTAACAGTAGCAATGGAAAATACCTGAGGTACATGTTTCACAGAAGAAAAAAAACAAAATAGAGTGTAGCTAGAGAACATAATGAGAATCCTTGTATAAGATAAACCATTGTAGTTGGCATAGTTTCAGGTCCTTATGACCTTAGTACAAAAATAAGTGTAAGAAAAACAGGATAGAAAAACAGGACGTGTAGATAAAGAGTAGCAGAAACTAGCAGATGTCCAGGATGGGCTGCAGGTAAGCTAACTGATAAGTAGAAGGACAAGATGATTATGTCTGTAATGTTACTGAACCAATTAAGCTGGTGTAAGCATTATCTACAGCACATGCTTCAAAGACTGCTAGAAGTGATGAAGATTGTTGGAAGAAGTAAACGACCCCCAAAGAGCACCACCACATTTTTGTATGCATGCGGGAAAACTTTCTAGAAGAATGATGTGATACATAAGTAGCCTCATGAATATGCATGCATGTATATAATGAATATGCATGCTTAGTGACTATATAAGGATGGTTTGTTTAGCAATTCGGAGAGACACACTAGGAGGACCTATCCCCCGTTTCTCTTGGCACCGCAATGAAGAATACCTGCTTGTCAACTTAAACTTTGTTGGCAAGTTCCTGGAGATTTCTCCAAATCAGTACCTTCAGCTTGCCAGCACACTCGGGGACGAAGATCCAAGATACATCCTCCTCTCTTCCTCCCTGAAGAGGGCTCAACATCTGAACAGTTTTGTCACACCATGCTTTATGTCCTACACATCAACTCCATGAGAACTCACAGAGCTGTACTACCTCGATAACAGTTCACCCTAGGAAGCAGAACTGAACTCGGCTTTCTGCAAGCTTGGAAGAGTAGTGGACCTCACATCTTTGGATCCAAATACTCCAACAACTGGCTTCCATTCGAAATACAGTTTAGTAACTTTCAGTCTGAACCTGAATTAGCACATTTCTCTGAAAGGGGAACAAGGAGCAAACTACAAAGATCAATTAAGTAACAAAATGGGAAAAGGTCTCTTTAAACCGCATCGTCTTTATTTCAGTCCCAATATTACAGATACAACACAAATATCCCAGTCAGAAGTAACTCAAACAGAATCCAGGGGGTCTACAATGGGTTCTGGAAATTAAATTGCAGAGAAGGTCTGGAATAACTGGGAAGGGCAACTTTGCAGCATAGTCTCTGATGAGTCTCCCAGCAGGAACAGAGCCCTTGCTCAAAGACTGATCTACAAAACTGAATGTCTTTTCTACCCATAAATCGCTACTAATGGGTTAAAAAGGCTTTGAAACCATCTTTGGTAAAAAAACAGCTTCTCCTTGGATCTCTGCATCTCTCATATATCACAACACTTTTTGGGAATGCTTGTCTGAATCTGCATGGCTGTAGCTATTGATGTAAAGAAAGAAAATTCAGGTGTAAGGTCTTAATTTCCAAGTACAGCACCAAAGCAATTTTATCAGCTCTCACCAACACCTCTTTTCCTGCACTGTTCTAGGTCTGCAAATGAACTCCCAATGCCTATCTTGCTCTCGATATGTATCACATAACTAAGAGGTGGGTGTATACAATAATGCACTGAATAGGCCATAAGCAGTCCCCAGCCCCATCAGACATAGGGGATACAAGAATAAAGAGGCAAAGCAGCCTGGTGTTCCCTAAGTCCCCAATCTGAGCCCCAGATGAAAGTGCCTGAAGGAATCCAGCTAGTAATGAAGGACAACACACCTTGCCCACCCCAGGGGAAAGAGACAGCAGAAAGAAGGGGTAGCTGTTCATCTGCTGCAGACAAGAAAGTTTCCCTGATAGAAATTCCAGACTTCTCTTCCAACCAGGCTGTGTTTCTTTGCAGGGGGCAGAGATGAGGAAGGGGAGAAGGGAATGTTGCTTCTGGCTATGAATGCATGTGTGAAGGAATGCACAGTAGCCTCCACAAGCTGCCAGCCTCATCAGCAGAGGAAAGGAGATTAGTTTTAACAGATATGCTTCAAAGTCAGCCATCACTTCAGGAAAATTCCTCCTCATCAGCAGGTCTCATCTGTTCCCCATGCCCATGGTGCAGTTTGGGAGATTGCCAAGGATCACAACCTTCTTCCCAGAGTTCTTTTGATTGGGTGGGGTGAGAATAAGAATGGAGCCTCACTGCCAAGACTGAGGGGGGAAGTTGTTGACTTCTGCTAGATCTTGTATCGCTGAGCCCTTGTGATTATATGTCAACTTGATCCGCATACGTAGTTGTTGCTACAAGAGAAAAGGAAAAAAACCCCACAAAACAAACAAAACAAAACAAAACAAAAACAAATTCAGGTCTTCATTAAAGGTCAATGAATCCCCCTACATCCAGCTTCCCTCCCTTACCCCATGAATACAAAACATGTACCTTTCCTCACCACAAGAGCTTGCTGGAAGGATGTGCAGGATAAGCTATGACACTGCAGATTAATGCTTAATCAGACAGGATGTTGACTGGTCACTGTAGTTCTCAGATAGGTACAAACTCTCATAAAAGCTATAGCACAGCTCCTACCCACATCTGTCTCTGCACTGGCCCTGTTCTCACAAGCACTGAAGTCCTTAAATACAAAAATAGCTGCCTTAAAATCCCATTTAACAATGGAAAAAAAGCACAAGGCAGATCCAGACTCTGCTGCTCTGCACTCAGGCTTTCAGGGAGAGGTGTCATTTCCCATATTAGCTGTTCATTCAAAAGAGTGGTCTGGGAACTTCAAGTATTGTTCCGTAGCGCTGTGAAGGAAATAACCTAAGAAAGACTGAAAACAGAGTCTCTAGGAATATTTCCTCCTGCTGTTAAAGATGGAATAGCTCACAAGTTATTTTACACTGTCATTTGGCTGTCATCCAGATACTAGGTGGCCCTTAATAATAGCTAGAGGACAGCATGCTCCAGCTAAGCTCCCTATTCTCCTCACTCAAAAAACCCTGTTTCCTCAAAACCCTAAAAGCAAAAAGTTGGCTATTTCTGCCTCTTTTTCATATTGCCCTGTAGGTATGGGGAAAAGGGAGAGCAGAGGGAGGAAAGGAGGACAATGACTGCTCCAACCAGCCTCAGGATAAAGAAATTATGCCTTATCACTGATAGATCAATATGATCGGTAGCAGTTTTTGCTATATTTAGTGTTGCTTTGGAAAATTGGCCATCAGTTTTGATCCAGCATAATAACAGTCCATGTCCAGGTGAACAGACTTTTTTTTTTTTACAATACTGACAGCTACCTCCTAAGTAGCAAAGCAACACTCCAAAGTTGCCTCCTTTGGAGTATTCCAGGTAAATACACAATCTCATGGAGAGGGCTCTTGTGAAGCTGTACTTTCAGGCAGTATCAACTGAAAAGACAGTAAGAGATGCATATGTGCCTGAAGTGGAAGAGTTAGAAAAGAGTAGGCAAGAGAAGAGGGTAGGAAAATACTATTTTGCACCTCTGTGTTCTGAAGTGTTCTGGTGTTCCAACAAGAAAACACCCCATTATCTGCGGGTACTTCACCTTGTGAGTCCTACCCGAGGTGAATATACTGTGACTTCTGCCACCCTACAGGAAAGCTCATAAACCCTCCAACATTCAGAAAATAACTTTCAAGGTGATCTTTGAAAGGTGCTCTACAGCACCACAAAGAAATTCTTATCAGTTGCATAAAAGACAAAGAGAATAGTCTTGTGCCTTTTAGGCAGAGGGGAGCACCCTGCACAGAGATAAGGGGAGATGCATGGAAGCCACAAAAGCTATGCACTAAAACCCAGCCATTTCAGTGAAATCTTAGGCTGAGATTTGAGAATTTTTCTGATCTGCGCATCAGCCTAGCAGCAACACTTAACATCTACAAAAGTACATAAATGTTGACCTACGAAAAACTTAAGATGTTTTAAGTTCTTAAAGATATTGAAAATCTTAAGGGTTTTCCACAAAGCAAGAAATAACTGATCACAATTTTATTTTTCTTTCTGATGCTATCTGAACACTTGCAAAGCCTCTTAAGGAGGACATGTGAGCCACCCCTCACACTCCCCTCAAGTCTGTTGTATCCCAGTCTTGAAGCTCATCTATGAAGGCTGTAAAACAAATGGAATTATGATTAAATCACACCTAAAAATTCTTTCCATCTGCTGTTTAAAAATACACTAATCACATTAAAAACAAGTAACACCACTGGAGAAACAGAGAATTTTTTTAAGATTATGGATCAAACATTTCAACTAACACCACTGCAGACAGCAAGAATGAACGTTGTTACAACACATACAAACACCAGGTTGAGCTCCTCTAGAAAGGCCATCTAAAAATTTAACAACCATTCCATTCCAACGCAAAAGACGTTCATGAATTCAGGAAGCTACCAAAGCTGTGAATCTGTTTTAGCAGTATAACCCAATAGAAGGACAAACCTGTGCCCAGCACTTCATGTCTTTTTCATAACTTTTTCCTAAACCTAACAAAGATGACTGCCATTAAAAACACATAATTCACTACCATCACTCCCTACCTCTCAGAGATGCATCCCTAACTGCCACTAAATGCCCAATTACAAGACAATATATTCAATAACTGTTCCTGGAATCACTTACCTTTTGTGGATTCAGGACTTTAATGACCTGTGTGATGGTCCCTGAATTAAATGCAGGGATGACACTGCTACTGGGAGACAGGAGCTGCAGCTGGAATGTCTGAAGAAAGGGCAGAGAAAACAATTTCACGCTTAACCAAGTAAGAACATAAAGTGATTTGTTTGCACTGAATGAAAGCAAGGAAAAATTAAGAGTTCAATTCCCAGCTCTGAATAATCAGTTCTTCCAATTCCCTACCTGTAAATAAAACATTCATTGGTCCACCTGCTTTCTACATAAATAAGATCCAGGTAGCACAAATACTGCGGGGTGAGGGCTTACTGTAGTGTACCAAAATAGCAAAGACGCATTGTTTCCAGTGTCACACACAGAGGAACAAGTGTCCTGGGTTCAGACGTAACAGTTACTTTTCTCTTTCCCCGTAGCTGATGCAGTGCTGTGTTCCAGCTTTAGTCTGAGAACAATGCTGATAACACACCAATGTTTTAGTTGTTGCTAAGTAATGCTTAATCTGATCAAGGACTTTTCATTCTCAGGCTCTGCCAGTGAGGAGGGTCACAGGAAGCCGGAAGGAAACAGAGACAGGACACCTGACCCAAACTAGCCAAAGGGGTATTCCATATCACAGCATGTCATACTCAGCATCTAAACTAAGGAAAGCTACCCAGAAGGCCCAGATCACTGCTCAGGTTGGGCTGGGTATCAGTTGGCAGGTGGTGAGCAATTATATTGTGCATCACTTGTGTTTATTGGGGATTTTTCCCCCCTTCCCTTTTTAATTTTATATTCTCTCCCCTTGTTATTTCCCTTATCATTATTATTACTGGTGGTAGCAGTAGTGACTTTGTGTTATACCTTAGCTACTGGACTGTTCTTATCTCAGCCCGTGGGATTTACATTCTTTTGATTCTCCTCCCCACTGGGGGGGTGGGGAGTGAGCAGCTGTGTGGTCAACCAAGAGGGTCAACCATGACAAACAGTCAAAACTGCTCAGCACATTTGCAGCTTCGCAGGAGGCCCATTCTTTCCTCAATTCCCTCCTATGGCAGGTATGAAACCAACCCCAATTAGAGCATTACCAATTCCTAGAGGTGAATCTCCCAGAAGTGAATCTATTTTCCCAAACTTGAAGAAAGGTCTAATCACACCCTGCTTAAATGGTCTGCTCTACTATGAACTAGTCAATATCTGTCTCCCATATTTTGTGCTGCAGGTAAGTGCAAGGGGAGATGATTCACTGCTTAAAGGAGGACCATCACTGATCATGTGGGGACTCATTTAAACTTGAAGCTAAGGGCTTCAGAGGATTTTCTTTTTCCAAGTATTTAGAACTGCAAAGAGCATGGTATATTTCTTATAAACTAAGAATAAAGGGAAAGATTAGTGCCTTCACTTTTATTTTGACTTAACATTTTTCTGCATGTGGTTTAACAACTTTCCTAGGAAGTGGTGATTTTAAAACAAGATTTTGTCCAAGCAGAAGTAGACCAATCTGATAGGAATCAGTGTTCTACTGATAACGTTTACTTTCAGACTAGAGATGACCAAACTGAGCACTAGGAGAACCTATTAACAGCTTTTATCCTTGTTTACCTTGCCAATTTCTGTCTACAGGAAAGCACCAATCAGGAAGTATTTGCAGCTGGCCCTCAAACTATCCCTGTAGTTGCTCTAAGTGGCTCTACCTTTGGTACTGCAGCTTGGAAAACAAAATCTGTCATATCCAGCTCTGTGCTGTTGGAGGCCTGTATTGTGATTACAGTGACACTAGGGTTGGTGTTTGACCTCTCAAAGGTGAAGTCAATCTTCATCCCGTTCTTGTTGTATGCAGTAATTGAGGGGATTCCTGTAGAAAACAAACCAGCATGGAATCCATGAATCTCCAGAATCTGGAGATAATTCCCAACATCATAGAGTGCATTTACTTTACCCCAGACATGAACTCTTCTGAAAATAAAACACACCCCCTCCTCCTGGCTCCAGTGTCTGTGCCACACTTCCAAATCCCCCCCTTTTTTTACTACCCCTTGTTTACTCTTTTAGTTGGCTGCTGTGTCACCTTAGGCTAAGGATTTACATGTCCCTAACCTGCAGCAATATCACTGAAGAGAGGCTGTGCTGGAAGTCCATCAAGCAGGAACGGAGGATGTGTTATCTGGGGCACAGGGGCAGATACTGGAGAACCTACAAGAAACATTGAAGGATTATTACTTAGCTGTAATGAAGAGTAATTACTCCTTCTCCAAAGACTGCTGCATATCATATTCTTTTACATGAAGCTCTACAAATCATCTGTGCTGACATCCTCCCCTTTTCTGCTTTCATTAATAAGGACTGGCTCCTCTTGAGCTAGGAAGCATTCAGATGGAATTCATTCCTCACATCTCCCAACCCTCCCTGGAAAGGCTCACAGCATTCCCAGGCTGGAGTGTGAAAATGCTCGTCTCACCAGCTAATCACGCAGAGTCAACCTGTGACTTCATTCCCCAACTCCCACTTGTATGCTATTATGGACCTTGGTAAAAATAAGCATGAAGTCTAGGATTTTGTAGAATGTGAACAAGCCAGCTCATCCCACCCCAGGACTGAGAACACACTTTTAAGAGATGCAGCCTGCTCACCTGTCAGGTTGAGGTCCCCCAGGAGGTCAAGGAGCTCCCCACCAGTAGAATCTGGCTTGCTTGTAGGTGCAGTGGGGATTACAGGTGTTATATCACTTCCCCCCAACAAGTCCAATAAATCATTTACCTAATAAGAGAGTAGATGTAATAGTTACATATTCAGCTTCCTGTTGCTTTCCCTTACAAACGTAATGGATTCTACTTGCTCTTGGATTGAAGACCAACAGTGCTGCTGGCCAGTCAGAGAGGTTCTTAGTTTGTCTATGGTCCCATGCCCCATAAGAGATCTAGTTTTCATACTCTTGGGGCCACGGAGATAGTGAAGGACTAAGTTTGTGCACACCAAGACAGGTTGGCAGATATACGGCTTTACCTCACCCTGCTCTTGCCCTTCCCAGAGTGATCTCTCTCCCACACACCTCTTCTTGACACTAGAGCCATCAGAGTAGAGATGATGCAGCCATCACCAGGCCAGAACAAGCAAAGAGATAGAGAAGAAGGAGGGAGACCATCTCAAGCTTACTGTTGGCAGTGGTTAGTAGAGTGGTCTGATAGGCAGTGGAAACTAATCTGAAGTCATTTTCCATTACCTGGCTAAGAGGCTGCAATCCAGAGAGTGGAGATTTGGTTTCCAGTACTGCTGACTCTGTCTCTCCGTTGGACTGTACAATCTCAGTAGGGCCATTTATGGTGACTTTCTCCATTACTGGCATTCTCTCAAGCAGGGCTGGCCTGAAAGAAGCTGACATAGTTACTCTGTGCCATCTTCCTGAATCCCAAACCAAATACTCAGACATTCAGGAGGCAAAATACACAGGGCAACCTGCTTTTTCCTTTTAGCATGGAAGCTGCAAAACTCTGTGACAGCTTGAGGTGGTCAGAAGCAACTGTGGCATTCTGTGCCAGTGCAAATACATTAGTTGACAACTGAAAAACAAACCAATCCTCTTGCCTCGCATTTTCTCCCAGTACCTGACACACTTTCTATTGTGGTGCTAGGATAACAAACCTAAGAGAAAGATTAAATAATTGAGCAAAAGTGGACTAACTGAAGACGTGGGACACAACTGCTCTGTTCTGTATGCAGCTCAGTCAGTCAGCTCTTTTGATTTGTCTTTGCAGAAGGGTTAACCACTTAGAACACACAAGAAAGTTGGACAAGCAAATCACCATGCTCTCAAGTGGACAAATTAAGTTTCCAAAGACATTAAGTTCACCCCTTGAGAGTACCCTCCTGTCATGGGTTTAGCTCTAACAGTTATTTTTCTCCTTCTTAGTAGCTGGTGCAGTGCTGCATTTTGACTTTAATCGGAGAACAACACTTATAACACACTGATGTTTTTAGTTGTTGCTAAGTAATGCTTAATCTGATCAAGGACTTTTCATTCTTAGGCTCTGCCAGTGAGGAGGGGCAGGAGAAGCCAGAAGGAAGCAGAGAAAGGACACTTTAGCCAAACTAGCCAAAGGGGTATTCCATACCTCAGCACATCATGCCCAGTATATAAACTAAGAAAAGTTACCCAGAAGGCCCAGATCACTGCTCAGATCAGGCTGGGTATTGGTCAGCAGGTGGTGAGCAATTGCACTGTGCATTACTTCTGTCCATTGTTTTCTTTTTCTTTCTCCCCTTTAGTTTTATGTTCTCTCCCCTTGTTTTTTTCTTCTTATTATTATTAGTGGCAGTAGTAGTAGTTTTGTATAATACCCTAATTATTGGACTGTTGCTCTCAACCAGTGAGATTTACAATCTTTCGATTCTATCAGTGTTCAAGGCCAGGTTGGACGAGGCCTTGGGTGATAGGGTTTAGAGCGAGGTGTCCCTGCCCATGGCAGGGGGGTTGGAACTTGATGATCTTAAGGTCCTTTCCAACCCTAACCATTCTATGATTCTATGATTCTATAATTCTATTCTCCATCCCTCTGGGAGCAGGGGGAGAGGAGGGAAAAAGGGGGTGAGTGATTGAGTGGCTGTGTGATGCTGAGTTACCAGCTGGGCTTAAACCACAACAGTCCTTTTCGGTAGCCTATATGGGGCACTAAGGGTTGAGATAACGACAGATCTGACCAGAGTGTGTCTAATCATATTTGTGATGAGCATTCATTGTTTCAGATTAATAGTCACTCATCACAGTGTTGATTTATTAGCTCTCGGAGCTGTGGTACTTGGTATCAGGGTTTCAGCATGTCACACCTTGCTTACAGCCAATATTTGCTGGTTTAGTGTTTCTCTGCTTTGGGGCCCGGGCTAAAGTTCTCTTTTCACTGTACTCCAGGGCAGTGACTTGTAACAGAATAGAATCGTTGATCATGAAACTGCTCTGGTATGCATTCTCAGCATGGTCATCACTTCTATACTTCGTGAAGAATGTAATGGGAATTTTTAGCAATTACACATCTTTCCACACCCCACCCCCCCGAGGGTCAACCTATGAAGGAGACATTCCTTCACACCCTCCGCTCTCCCACCAGGCTATTTACAGCAGCATTTGAGAATTCTAAAGGTTTTGAATATCATTTTAAAGCCCTTGAAACCTGCCTGCTTCTTTTGCTAGGAATCAGCATGTTGCTGCATATACTACATGAGCTTTACCCATGGTCATGCCACCCTGAGAACGCCCAATAGCGTTTGATCTGAGAAGCTAAGCAGGGTCAGGATCGGGTCTTCTCTAAGGTTAAATAACGATCTAAGAGGACCACCAAGAGATCTTCCCCGAGGTTGGACAGTCATGAGTGGCAAGCACTTAACCAGTTGGCCTCTCCAGTGTTTTGGAACTTAACACTCTTGAACAAAATGTGGAACCCCCAAAAATTAGCAGAACACTTTGTTTAAGCATGCTGTCGTCCTGGCAATAGCAAAGAGGGACAAGTCACTGCAACGTGTTGGGGATTCCCCTACACCTACAGAACTGTGTTCTGCAAGGAGCAGGAAAAAGAAGTCTCTGGATCTGATGGCAAAGCAACAGACACAGCAGCTACTCAAACCCTGACAGACACTGACCCCACTCTAACCCAGATACTGCAGCTAAACCAAAGGACCAACCTGTGCCAATACCAGTTGCCCCTATAAACAAGGGGAAAAGTAAACAAGAGCCACAAAGAGCAACTCGGGTAGTGAAGGGAGATGAAGACCCAGTGTGCATACCAGAGGGGGTGACATCTGAATGAGAGGAATTAGTCCAGAAATCAGAAGAAATAACTTCTCGATCCCTGTCCTTGACTGAGCTGCAGAATATATGCAAACATTTCAGCCATCTTGCAAATGAGCACATCATCACATGGATGCTCCAATGCTGGGAAAACAGGGCCAACATTCACAAACTAGAAGGTAGGGAAGCTAAGCAGCTGGGATCACTTGCTAGGGAAGATGAACTGATGAAGCGAGTGCAAAACAGAAACGAAGCCTCAACCCCTGGAGGCAGCTCTCAAGAGCTGTGAAGAAAAGGTTTCCATACAAGGACGATGTTCTGTGTTGCCCAGGCAAGTAGACCACAAATGAAAACGGCCTCCAGTCCCTGAGGGAATCAGTCATTCTAGAGATGATCTACCATAGGCCAGAAACAAGGAATGCATCCGTAGATCCAGACAAAGTTGGATGTACACAACCCAATAGGTGGAAATTTACAGAGCGCACCATCAGCATGTGCCAACTCATTGGCAAGAATGAGCCAGAGGGAGGCAGCAGCACCAGAAGTGGATGAAGCGAGTCATCAGCTCTGAGAGAGTTTGAAGACAAACCCACCCCTTCCATCGTTTCAGCTGTGGAAAAACTGTCCCAGGAGTTCAAACAATTGAGAGATGATCTATCCAGGGCCCCACATGCACAGACCCACATATCAGCTATTAACAGAAGGCACCCTATTGCCTGAAATGGAAGATATCAGTCAGCTGATTGGAGCTAGCCCAGCTAGAGCCGCAGCCGGCATGCTTCAGTGACCGCGAGTCTCAACAGAGATTAGGAAAATCAGAGGGGATAGCGAAGAGGCATCGCGATTCCCGACATCTCCCGATCCCCGAAGCCCCAACAGCCCTTGCGAGAGAGCGGCTAACGTGGCAGGGAGCGTTCCCACGGGGACAGCGACCACCCCCCTGCCCCTTGCCTTGAAAGAGCCTCTGAGAGGGCAGCGACACCAGGCGCAGGGAGGAACAAGCAGGTCGTGTTGCTGACCCTGTTGCTGGTGTCCCAGACTGCTGACCAATATGGTCGCCTCCAGAAAGAGAGCTTGCAGTAAGAAGACTGTAGCAACTAAGACAGAGACCCCGTCCCAAACCGTGGCTGTTCAGGTCTCTGGATGCAGGGAGTGCAAGAGCCTGCTGCTGCGGGGGGAGGGAGGACAGCATTCCACCTGCGTGAGGTGTGAGCAGGTGGAAGATCTGCTTAGCTTGGTGGCAAAACTTAAGGAGGAGGTTGAGATGCTGAGGACCATAAGGGAGTGTGAAAGGGAGATCGACTGGTGGAGTAACTCCCTGGCATGCCAGTTGGAACGGTTCCACGGAGATACCCCCTAAAAGGGGATGGACCCCCTGCCCTCTTAGACAGAGGGGGATGGCCTGAGACAGCCCCTGCCCTGTAGCTGTCGCGCAGAGGTAGGGGACCAAAAAGACGACGAGGGTTGGAAGCGAGTTCCAGTTTGGCGTCATGGGCAACCTTCCTGCCCTGCTTCCCCAGGTGTCCCTCCATAATAGGTTTGAGGCCCTGGATCTTGAAGGAGAGGTAGGTGAGGATGTGGTGCAAGGACCGCCTACAAGGCCACACAGGAAAAGGCATTCAACTTCGCACCTCAAGACTGCCTCTGATAAGAAAGAAAGAAGGGTCATTGTAGTAGGCCATTCCCTTCTGAGAGGACCAGAGGGCCCGATATGCAGAGTTGACCTTCATCATAGGGAAGTGTGTAGTCTGCCTGGAGCCCGGATCAGGGATATCACCAGGGCGCTCCCCAACCGGGTGCACCCGACAGACTACTACCCGCTGCTGGTCTTCCAGACAGGTGAGGGGGAAGCTGCTTCCTGCAGTCTGAGGGGGATGAAGAAAGACTACAGGGCCTTGGGGCGAATGGTGAAAGAGTCTGGGGCTCAAGTGATCTTCTCTTCACTCCTTCCATCTTACATTGATGATGTGGGACTGAATGGGAAAATTCAGTCCATAAACGACTGGCTTTGAGGCTGGTGCTGCAGGCAGGGCTTTAAATTCTTTGATAACAGCTGGTTTTATAGGGCACCAGTCTGGACAATGGCATGTGGGAAAGGTTTATCTCACAGAGGCAAAAGGATACTGGGGCACGAATTAGCAGGGCTCATTTGAAGTTTTAAAATAGATTCAAAGGGGGATGGGGTTGTAGCTTGGCTTGCCCCAGTGTGGCAGCACTCCAGAATTGATGAAGACTGGGAGGCCTCCTATAATCCTAGGGTGAAATCGGTGTGCTCAGCTCGCTCCCTGAAATGTCTGTACACCAGTGCGCGCAGCATGGGAAATAAGCAGGAGGAGTTTGAAACCTGTGTTAAGTCAGGAGATTATGATCTAGTGGCAATTACAGAGACGTGGTGGGACAGCTCACATGACTGGAATATAGTCATGGAGGGCTATGTCCTTTTCAGGAAAGACAGGCCAGCCAGGCGGGGTGGTGGGGTTGCTCTTTATGTGCGAGAGCAGCTACAATGCGTTGAGTTCTGTCCAGGGACAGATGACGAGTGAGTTGAGAGTCTGTGGGTGAGAATTAAGGGGCAGGCTGGCAGGG